AACGACAAAGATCGCTCGGGACAACCAAAAAAGCTTGAAAATGCAGATTTGCAAGCGTTATTGAACGAAAAACCAGCATAATCCACTTCAGAACTTGCCGGAGCATTAAATGTTGATCGTACCACAGTTACTAAACATGATACGGGAAAGATTTACAAAGAAGGAAAATGGGTTCCACATCAATTATCGGAAAATGTCATTGCGAGCCGGCTGAATCCCCAGACAAAAATGAAGAGTATTCTGTATCGAATTGTTACCGGGAATGAAAAATGGATCTATTTCGATAATCCCAAACGGAAAAAATCCAAACCAACCAGCAACAACCACTTCGATATTCATGGTTCCAAGGTATTACTGTGTATTTAGTGGGATCAAAAAGGTGCTGTATTATGAACTGTTAAATTCGAATGAAACTGTTACCGCTGATCGATATCGACAACAATTATATAAATTGAAGCGAGCATTGGACCAAAAATGATCACCAATTGCGAGTAAATGGCACAAGTGATCCTACTTCATGACAATGTTCGGCCTTATGTTGCACTATCGGTAAAGCAAACGTTATTAGAGCTGGAATAAGAAGTCTTACCGCAGCCCGCGTATTCTCCAGACATTGCTCCATCCGATTATTACTCGTTCCGGTCGATGCAACACAAGCTCTAGAAGATACACACTTTCAGAACTTCCAACAAGTGCGAAAATTTGTTGGAAATTGAATCAACTCCGAAGAAGAATCTTTTTGTCGTCGCGGAATCCATTTTTCGCCAGAAAGATGGAAAACGAGGGAGAATATTTTAATTAAGGAATTCGTACATTATCTTGTTTAAGTAAATCAGTTTTTGAAAAAAACTTTCGAAACTAAATCACATTCCTAATAATAAAAATAATAAAATGAGTGAATTACGATAAAATGTAAATAAAAATATAAATGTAATAAAATGAATACCATAAGTAATAATAATTATTACTGTTATTATTATTATTATTGATATTGATAGTAATTATATAAATTACTCGTATTAATTTTGAAACTGCCTTGATATGAGGGTTGTCCAAAAAATACATTGCCTAATGCAAAGATGTGTTCACGATTGCAACCGACGGATTCATTTAACTTTAACTTTGACTCAACGACATCAATTCTATGGAGTACATTCATGTGATACAGGTAATTATTTCTTTGCAACTTTGCGAGCTGATGAAGCAATGTTTAAAAGAAGAAATATTTTTAATTTTTCTATTTTTAATTTTTTATATTTTTTTCTTACTTTTACACACATACACACTGACGCAATTTAGTCGTTAAAAACTGAGACATCCTGTATAGATAAAGAGAAAATTAATCGCAAATAATCGTTAATATTTCGCGAAGTCCGATATTAAATCTGAAATGAAGTTCAACTTTCGAGATTTCATCACAAGGATCTCTCAAATTGGCTCCGATTTAGTTTTCGAATTTCTTTTCCGAACAATCTTAATGAACCACAAAGATTGATATTCCACGATTTTTATTTTTTAGAGATCTTCCAAAGGACAAAAAAAAGAATTTGGCGGCAGATTTATTAATTTTTTTTTAAACAAACAGGACAAATTAGTCCTTTCATTTGTAAGTTTGACAAATATCACAACGTGATAAATATGACAAATATGCCATGACAAGGCTCTGTGAAAAAAACTCGAAAGTGGGTTCAATAATGAACCTTTATGAAGCCAGATTGTTATACCGGCGAATTTTAAACACGCAATTAACGTATAATGAGACATGTGTGGCGCACAAGGTGCCTCGCCTCAATGACATAATGCACCAATGGCAAGCTTATCTCTCACACGAATATAAGTCGTATTATGCGAACGTTGACGAATATCCCAATTTAAGGTGTCACGGATTTGCTCCTGTTGAGTCTTCATGCTTCTCGCTTGTTAAACGCGCTGGCTCGATTACGGCAGAAGGTACAGCCGCGCAATTAAGATATCGTCGAACTAATCTGATTGGGCTTGACAAAAAACGACGAATTTAATTTGCAGTGAAATCTGCCCGCACTCTCTCTCCCCTCCATCCGCCTTTTCTCTCTCTCTCTCTCAACTTCTCTTCCTCCCGAATCTCATCCGGTGAAATTAATTCGGGCGGCCGCTAACACGACAGCTATCACGTCAAATGCGAGTGTCTCGTCGTACATCAGCTCGAAACCGGCATGCAATCGACTGTCTAAGTAAAAGTTGCCCAAACCAGCTCTCGCACGAGATTAATATGACAATCTCAATGTAGTTGCCGAAAGCGTTTCGGCAGACAGCGAACGAAAAAGGAAAGGTGAGATTTATAAAGGTTGTACCATTTGATATATTATGTACTCGAAGCGTCGCGGTATAATTCGACGTTTGAGAAGTTGAAGTTGTAACAATAATGATCTTTACTTACGGGGAAACTTTTGAGCATGTATAAATGAATAATAATGCACACAAAAGTCAAAGCCAGCACTAATATACAAAAGAGATATGTGAATAAATAAAAAGATGTAAATGAACACAAATGAAATGTATCAGGCTGGCAAGAAAGTTATGTCGTTCTTTTTTCTATGTAAATGAAAAACGATTTTTTCATACAAAGCAAAAACTTTATTCTGTAATATATTGTCCGTTTAATTCAATGACCTTTTGCCATCTGTTTGGGTAGCTTCATGATTCCGGCCTCGTAGAACTTCTGGTCCTTATCGGCACGAAACTGATTCAAATACCGTTTGACAGATTCATCAGAATCGAATTTTTTTCCCTTCGGGGAATTTTGCGAGGAACGAAATAAATGATAATCTGATGGTGCAAGATCAAGCGAATATGCTGGGTGTGGTAACACATCCCACCCAAACTGCAACAATTTCTGGCAACCAACGATGTATGTGGTCCAGCGTTATCATGATGAAAGGCAACACCTTTACGATTCACCAATTCTGGGCGCTTCTGTTTGATTGCTTCGTGTAATTTGTCCAATTGACGACAGTACAATTCCGAATCAATCGTTTGATTACGCTTAAGCAGCTGAAAAAACACAATACCCTTGTAATCTCACCACACAGATAGCAAAATCTTCCTTTGGTGAATGTCTGCTTTAGAAGTGCTTTGTAGCGATTCATCACGTATGCTCCACGATCTTTTTCGTTCCACATTGTCGCAAACAATTTATTTCTCATCGCCAGTTAACATTCGTTTCAAAAACGGATTGTTTTGCTCACGTTTCAGGAGAAAATCGCTGATATTAATGCCTTTAATGAGATGAATTTCTTTGAGCTCAGGTGGAACCCGAATATCAAGTTTGTTGACGTATCCAAGTTGTTTTAAATGGTTTTCAATGCTCGTATACGATACGTTTAGCTTCTCAGCAATCTCCCGTGTCATATAATGGCGGTTGGATTCAAGCAATGCTTTTATTTTGTCGCCATCGACCTCAATTGGCCGGCCTGACCGTGGTGCATCTTTCACAGAAAAATCTCCTGAACGAAAACGAGCAAACCAACGCTGTCATTGGCGTTCTGTTAAGGATTCCTCACCATACACATAACTTTCGACGGATTTGCACAGCGTCCTTTCCTTTTTGAAAGCAAAAAAATAAAATATGGCGGAAACGTTCGTTTTGATTTTCCATCTTTAACTTATCTGCCAAACAAACAATTCTTTACCGAATGACGCCCTTTTTCTTTTTTAAGGAAAGCTTGAAACATATAAATCAGCTGTCAAATGTTATAAAGATTATAGGACTTAGAGAGAAATTAGTTGCGTCTAATGACAAGTAAGACTATCTATTCGTAAAAAACAACGTGACTTTGTTGCCAATTTGATAATAGAGACGTATTTTGAACAAAGAAAGAAAGATCTAAACTGATAAAATTCATCAAGACCTATGAAAGCTTATGAAACATTATACTAAAACGTTACAAGTAATAAAACATTTAAAGCACGAGACTTCGAATAATTCGACTTGGAAGTTTTAAATCTTCAAGTTCGACGACACGAGATATCGAAAGTCTCAACGAAATTAATATTTCATGGAACGCAGAAGAGTCTGCGTATCGTTCGAATACTCGAATATTCACACTTCGACGTCTCGTTGTTCGAGTATAATGCGGCTCGAGGAGCTTCAGGTATAATTTATAGCTATAATTATGTGGAGAGACTCGATCGAGCCACGTGGCCGAGCCATGTGGAAGAGTTCTGTCTATCGCACGTGTAGTTCCCAGGTCCTTGAGGTGCACCTACTTGTTGCAAAATCGCGGTCACAGAGTCGAAATTCGATCACCTGTGCGCCGAACTGCCCCCCATGGGAGGGGGAGGGGCGGAGGACTCGGTTGCGTTACGGCGAGGAACGGACCTGCCCAGCCGAGGGCGCGCGTAATAAAGGAGAGGGTGAAACCTTGGCATTCTTCGCGGCTGCGAGCCGAATGATGACTCTCACCTTTGCGCGCGCGGCTTCGCGTATTGCCCCACGAATTGCCGTCCGAAGCCCGAAGTCGGATTATTGCGAATTCAAACACGATCGCGAAGACGCAATCGCCGGCCGCGATTGCGATCGCGATCGTTTCGCCCGCTCCGATCTCATGATCCTCTCTCGTCCCTTTTTCAAAGGCGGCTTTTCACTAAGCGCGGCCGGCTTTACGACTCCGACTACGTCGTAAAGCACTTGGCGCGTAGAGCACTTAACGCGACTATAAAAGACACGCGTGACACGCACGCGATTTTATTGGTGTACATGTTCGCAAGTTTGCGAAAGGAAACGGCGACGAGAGAGGTCGCCGGTTTGGGCGACTTCGCCAGCGCAAGGAATACGATATCGGCGTATCTTGAAACTCTTAGTTTCTCGTTAACTCTGGAAATTGCTGCAAATTTTAGATAACCAATACGGGCGAATAACTGGCGAGATTAACTGGTAGTCAAGTTTTTCTTATTCGCACAAATTTTCCTTATTCGTCATCTGTATGTTATTATTGTTGTTTTTTTCTTTTTTTCTTTTTTAGTGTTGGGGTCCCGATCAAATTCGGGGAGAGACGTCTGCAAATATAAAACGAGGTCCGCAACTGTAAAGAGCATTGTCAGACGTACGAGTCGGTGGAATTTACATTAGACTTGCGTTTATATTAGATTCAGTTCTACATTAGATGCTGAGGTTGGTAGGCCCGTAGTTGCGAATTATTTACAATCTTTGATTAAGAGCATAATTAATCGCAAATTCGCGCTCATGTTTCGTTATTTAGCCGAATCATCAGTACTTTTTACCGTGCGAAATATGTATTTGTAAGAACACAGGTTGTGCGAATAATCGGAGATTCAGTAGCGGGCTGTAATTATTATTATTATCTATGGACTGGCATAATGTAATTATCATCGAATAATAGTGAACTATATGAATATATTGTTTAAATTTGAATTAAAATATGGAGATAAAATCTGGTCTTTGTTGCTTTGTTATTTAGCATGTTGATTGCCACATTGATTTTCATCGAGTATTTCAACGCACAAAATAAGTCTTCATCAATAAAGATGCGGTAAATAAATGCAACTCGCCAGCTCATTTTGTTGTCTCTCCATCTGCTGGATATTATATGGAATAATTTACATAATTAATGTGAAATTTTATGGCACTTTCTCCTTCTTTGTTTAACCTGCGCATAGGCTCTAAGGGCCCTTGACTTTTATCATACAGGGTGTATAAAAAATATAAAAAATACCGGGACGGTGAAATATCACAAAAACTAAGCATTTTAGAAAAAAATGTTTCAAATAAAAATGGTAGGGTTTCGAAAGATCTATTCACTGACATATTCTCATTACATATTCTTGTAGCTCTTCTTCAGACCTTCTCAAAGCACTATATAATTTTTTCTATTTTGAGTAAGCCGTTTCGAAGTTATCGAGCTTTTTATAATAAGATGCCCAGCCAATTAAGGCAAAATCAAAGTATCCAGCCAGCCAACGTAAGATCAAAGAAGCATCCAGCCAGCCAAGGCAAGATGATCACAAAGGAAAACTGGTAATTGAAAGCGCGATTAATATATTCTCATCTCGAAAAGTTACATTGATAAGATCCTTTACATCTTGATACGATCTTAATCTATTACCCCAGCCCCTCATCATCAAGACAGATATTCTATCGCATTCGATAAGGTGTTGCATTTTAATTGATGAAAATTATCGAGATGGAAATTTTGAAACGAACAAATAATTATCAGCAATATTTTAAAATGAACTAAATGGAAAAAATGTACAGAAATAAGCAAAATAAAAATTGAGGAAATCTTTACGAAAGCGTTTGAGAATAATGTTAATCTCTAAAAGAAAAAATAAAGTCTAACGAATAAGCTTGGAAACAAAAAGATTTATCCAATAAATAGAAATTTGTATTAATTAGATAACAAAATCGATAATTCAATTAAAGAAAGAAAAAGCATTGATCTTTTCCGTATGAAACAACGCGTATCATGTACAAGTAATGTGTTCTACTTCAAGTCAAATTCATTGCAATTGATTTGAAATGATTCGAAGATGAATTTTAGTGCTGTTATAAATTTAGTACATTAGTATTACTTTTTAATGTTACATATGTCTGAAATACAAGTCACGAAATTGCTCCAGCCGCTGGCTGGACATCTTATCATAAAAAGCTCGATAACTTCGAAACTTTATACCGTCATATCTTTTAACAGAAACATCTGACAAAAAATGTTTTGAACAAAATGTACTTGTTTTTTACCGTAAAATCCAACCATCTAACATTTTATAGGGAGTCCCGTTTGAAATTGCGAAATTACCCTCTGCCCCCCTTTAAGGGGGACAGGGAGTAACTTAATATTTATGTAGTTAGAAAGACCCCTCGAGTACATAAAACTTTCTCATGAACAACTTTTTGATTTGACAAACAGTTTCCGAAATATTCAGCTGTTAAGAGTTATGTGGGCCACTCTGTATATAAAATCATTAGTGCAATTTTCCACAATGGTGAAAGCATAACTGATGGACATTATACAAACGTTGTGCGTGTTAAGTGCACAGAATGGATTTTAATTAATAATTCTAAAATAAAAAAATGTAGTTGGCCTCGAAATTCCAAAAATGAATACATTTTCTTTGCTGAAAAAGAATAATATAATAAGATTTATACATAAATAATTTATACAAAAAGCAGTGAAATCATAACAAAAAGTCTTTACAAGAGAAAAAACGCCGAGCACATATGAAAAGAAGTACCAAACCAAAAAATATAAAAAAAACATACCAAAAGTAAACGTACCAAAATGAAACGTACTACAACAAAAATATAGCTAAAATATAACAACAAAAAAGTACAAAACGAAGATGTTTCATTAATTTTGTTAAAAAAATGCGATCAATATAATTAACCATATAAAGTACATAATATTTATTATATTTTTATTATATTTTATTATTATATTTTTATTAAACGGTGAAATATCTAGATACTGAGGAAAAACTTAACATTAAAATAAAAAACTCGGCGTGCCCTGAACGATGAAATGTATACACATATATATATATAAAAATATATACAATATGAAATATATACAAATATATAACCACACACATACACACACACACACACACACACACAATTTACGTTCTAAACTATGGAATGAGAGAAGCAACATATAGAAAAATGTTAAAGTTCATATGAAAACTGATATAAAACTTAAAACTCATATAAAGGTATAATAGTTGTTTTATAATACTTATTATATAATAGTTATTATATCATATAGAAAACTTAATTTTACAACGATCATACGAACTTGAATTCACAAAAAATTAACATAAATTTTACCATAGCAAATATATATATATGTATATATTTTTTTAGTGTTTTCAATATATATTTTCAATACTGTTCATAAAATTATTCGTAGCATTCTAAATATTTATAATGAAAAATAATATATTTAAATATTATACATTTCAACGCTCAGGGCACGCCGAGTTTTCGATCTCGATGTTAAATTTTTCCTCAGTATCTTATTTAGATATTTCACCGTTTAATAAAAATATAATAATCAAATATAATAAAAATATAATAAATATCATGTACTTGGTTAATTATATTGATCGTATTTCTTTTTAACAAAATTAATAAAGCATTTGTGTTTTTTTAAATGTTCGTTTTGTACTTTTTGTGTTGTTATATTTTAGCTATATTTTTGTTGTAATACGTTTTGTTTTGATACGTTTAGTTTTGGTATGTTTCTTTTTTTTATTTTTTGGTTTTTGATATATTAGCGTCACTGCGTTAACGGCAAACTACTAAACAAATGATTCCATAAATAATAACTGGAATTCGCTGGTAAAGGAATTCGCTAATAAAAGAGATATCGAGAATGGCCACAATATCTACAATCACCATAGTATCACCATAATATCACCTTCTCTTTTATGATAATAAAATAATAATTTGTTATACGCGCAGTTGGTTAGTTTCAGGCTCACGCGGCGACAAACAGAAGTCCGCCAGTCCTTTGTCAAAGGATCCTTCAACACTTCTCCTCGGACCATTCACAGTATCCGTCATCGTCACGTCTCAATCGTCCCTATTTAACCCTTTGTGGCCCAGGCGGACATCCAGAGACCCACCTATATTCCGTCAGTTTTTTATGTTTTATGAGCAGTTTTAATGATCGATTTCTTAGCAATTATATTTTGTAGCTTCTTAAGACCCTAACTAGTGTAAAATGATTACTTATAAATTCTTTAAATTTATTATTGCTAATAGTAAATAAGTAAACACGATAAAAGGTTTTTAAGAATAAATATATGGCAATGCGAAGAATTGACTATTTTTATCCGGGAATTAATACGCAGGGATTTTTTTGGGGCACTAATTATGAATCCGTCAGATTCGTAATTGTTGTTGTCAGATTATAGAAATTCAAAATGGCAGACATAAAATTAAAAATTCAACCAATTTCCGTGAAACTAGGTATCTAGAGGTTTCTTGAGTTGCTGATTACGAATCCATTATCAGATTTTCAAAATTCAAGATGACCAACCCATATGTCGGACGGAAAACTTAAGAAAAACTTCAATTTCTAGAAAAATTGATATTGAGGGGTTTTTGGAGGGGTTTCGCTAATTACACAGGTCTACAAGGTTTTGTTGTTGGGCAGCTGGGGGTCGTTTCCCAAGTAATTTTCTGCGTAGAATCCGAATCCGAGGTCAGAATTGGCCCATCACGTCAGAATTTTGAGATATTTGAGGTTATATACTCGAAAAATGGCTTTTTGGGCTACATCTGAGGTTATGTATAGGACGCACAAAATTTTTTAGCTCTTTTCTTCTAATTGCATCATTTAGTACTACTCTTTCCCTTCAAAATGAGCTGTCGAATGGTCATCTATGATTTTTCCTTGCAAAGTTACGGCCATTTTAAGATAACAGGATGAATTCCAAACCCTGCGCCGTTATAGCCCAACAATCTCATGAGCATTCACATTAAACCTGTAAACTTTGAACTATAAACCCGAAAACCTGGTCTGAAAACTGTATATATGGGTTTTTGGGGTCGTTGATTACGAATCTGATCTCAGATCGACCCCAAACCTATTAATAGGTTTGTTATAGGTTATCTTAAAATATATCTTAGTATATAACCTCAAATATCTCAAAATCCTGACGTGATGGGCCAATTCTGACCTCGGATTCGGATTCTACGCAGAAAATTACTTGGGAAACGACCCCCAGCTGCCCAACAACACTCATGATCCCATTTTTTGTAGACCTGTGATGTGTTATGAATTTATCATCAGATTTTCAAAGTTCACAATGGCTGATTCAATACAGCGATGCGAGAATTTTAAAAAACCCAAATTTCTACGCCATTTCGAATTTCGAAAATCTGACAACGGATTCGTAATCAGCGAGCCAGAAAACTCCTGGTTACAAAGTTTCATAGAAATCGGTTAAAAGGAAAAATTCGTGGCTCAAAGGGTTAAAACAAGACTTGACGGAGAATCGACGGACTCGGTCAAAGGTGTCATTTGCCACGTGCCGGCATCTGCATCATTCAGCCTGGGCTCTCGGTGCAGCATCTTGGCTCCCGGCTATTCCCGTCGTCGCATTCACACGACACTGACATTGACATTCGCGCGGATGGTCAGCCGCCATCTGGACGGATGGCGAGAATGCAGCCTTATATGTAAATTAGCGAGACGCGGTGATATTGCGGAGTCACTCGACTACCTCGGCGGCCAACGTGTTAACATTTTCCCGTCTATGCGAATGGCACCTGCGCGAGTGTTAGTTTCGGTGTCAGTGTCAATGCAACGACAACGGTAGCCGGGAGCCAAGTCTAGGTCGGAGGAAGATGCAAGGTGCCAGCACACACGCTACC